CAGGTAACATCCAGATCCCTGAACCACCTCAACTGGCTCCTCTCGATGTGGAGGAGCAGCAGCTCTACTCTAAGTTTCTCCTAGATAGCTGAACTTCTCACCTCGTCTGTAAGGGAGAGTCCAGCCACCCCGTGGAGAAAACTCATTTTGATCGCCTGTATCAGCATTCTCGTTCTTTCGGTCACTACCAAAGGTTGGTGACCATGGATGAAGGTAGGAACCGACAGGTAAACGGGGCGCTTCACCTTACAGTTCAGCTTCACCACAATGGACCGGCCCAGAGTCCACAGCACTGCGAACACCACACCGATCTGTCTGTCACTCTCACGCTCCATCCTTCCCTCACTCGTGAACAAAACCTCGAGATACCTGAACTGCTCGACCTGAGGCAGAACCTCACCCTCGACCCGGAGAGGACAGTCCACGCTTGAAGCTCCTGATCCTCTCAGCTGCTAATAAAGCAGTTTTTACATCATTTAACATGTATCAGCTTCACATGAAGCTGCTGTATTTTCCAAATGTATTAATTTATCTACAAAATGTGTTGCTTATTACATATCATTTAATTTTTTTTAACTACTAAATAAATGTGTGCCTTTAGCCAATCCTTCATTATTGTCAATTAAAACTTTAACTTGAATACATATTCTTGTTTAATTTTTAAATGACATCATTACATTAGTAAAGGAAGGTTTAACATTTTGAGTTCTTTATTTAGTTTTAGACCGTTTGTCTACAATTCTTCATATTTCTCGTCATGTCAAAATTTAATGCAGTTTTAATCTTATGTAAAAGTGTTTTTACGTCCTCAGAAATAAGAGTCCTGCTGCCATCAACTGTAATTATCCTTAAAAAAGCCTCAAATTTGTCACACAGACCTTTATCTCCTCCAGTCGCCATAAAAGAGAACGATTTGTCTTCTGCGAAGGGAAACGTGTCGAGACCTGCTCCGTGCTCGGGTGGAAAATGTTTTTCTTTTTAATTTTTTTTGTTGTTGTCTGCGTCTCTGTGGACGTCTCACATTCCTCCCCAGACGGCTCGTCCTGTAATAGTCCAGGTCCTGTAATAGTCCAGGTCCTGTAATAGTCCAGGTCCTGTAATGGCTACACCGTCCTGTTGATGATCTGATGGTATTTTTCTTGTCTGCACATTGTCTTGAGCACTTCGTGTGATTTTTAACTGGAGGTCCACTCATACGAGTCTTTATGCTGCAGATGTTGGCTGATACGCTGCACTTTTGTTCACTTTTCTATCTGACTAGAACTAATATAACTAACTTTAATAAGCGTTTGATTAACTGGAACCGTTTTAAAAAAACATGCATCAAGAAATTAAATTTGGGCTCATTATTTTAAAAAATGACAAATATTAGTCAAAAACAACCACAATATTCAATAAATCTGATTTTAAATCTGCAATAATGCAAGGATCATCCCCTCAATGCTGTATGTGGTGCAAAAAGTTTTTATTAACTTGTTTTCAGTCTTTTTTAAAATTTTTATAATACATCCGTCAAAGGTGGACACATTACGGCACAGTCTTTGTACGTATGCACAATTTTTCTAGTCCAGGCAATAATTTGATCCGCTCAAGATAATTTAACAAAACCTCATACACATGTGGATCATCACTAGTCGAATTGTTGTTTACACCTTCATGACCCCAGCTCCAAAGTCAAGGTCACAAATCAAGGTCAAAGTTGAAACAATGTCTTTGCTTGACCGACCCATTGCCACTGACTGCTGTGCTGTTTGTCGACAGGTATAATGTTCCAGATCAGGTGTTTTGTTTGTCCACTTCACCGATCTGAGCTCGTGCTAATTGTTATTTAATTAAAACAAACTAAACGAAGGGGATAGTAACAAACTTTCAGATGAGACTATCACAGATTACTCTGTCAAAGTGTATCAAGGACTTTTGTTTTAAAATCATTTAAAAAATTGTTAATGTTTTGGAAAAACATCTGATTTTGTTGGTGTGAAGAAGACTTGGGCCCAAATTCAAGCTGAAAAATAAACCACATCTTAACAGAAAGTTGACGGCAGCTTCAGCAGGATCTCATCCTCGTGGACGGTGTTGTCTTCAACCTTTTCCTCCTTTGTAGCGTCCTTCATGTCAGGTCATGTTAATGCACAGTGTCCAAAGTGCGGCCCGAGGGCCATTTGCGGCCCTTATAGTGATTTTGTGCGGCCCACAGCTGCAGTTTAAGAATGGTATCATTTTGGCAAGCAGGCTTAAAAGGTCAATAAATACTTTCTGCAAATTATTTTATGTATGTGAATGTTCCTGTAAAGTGCCCTGAGACAACTTTGTTGTGATTTGGCGCTTTATAAATAAATTAAATTGAATTGATACTTGGTAATCTTTTTTTTATTTAATATTTAGGTTTAACAGCAAAACGGGTGAAAAACAATCTTCTCAAAATGAGCAATATGAAGCAAAACACAAACTTTTGGCTATAATCTTTTTATTTTTACTTCATGGTACAAAGCGCCACAAACCTTCACTGATTTCCACCAGAAAGGAAACTTTTGGATAATGATTTATAAAACTTGGTGAAATATTGCGGTTGATAAAATAATCAAGAGTGGAACTGGACTTTTTATATGAATATAACGTGGTATCGTCTGCATACGATTTGATCAACTTTATCATGGATCTGATGTAGCGACTGACAGCTGGATGAGTTTTCAGAACTTGGATCAGCTTTTTGAGTCGTTCATGGTCCAAAAGGCTGATCGACCCCTTATAAACGGACACTTACCGCTACTCAAATTAAGCTTTTGTTGCTGAGAACAGACTAAAATGAACTTTCCAAACACAAGAAAACAACAAATATAGACCCAACAAATCAAATTAATCAAAACATTTTTGATAAAAACATATAAGATTAGTGTTAATGAGGCTTTTAATGTTTTGGATCTACAACAATTTAAAACTTTTTCTCCACCAAAATTAGTAAATTTGTCCTTTCTCCAAAATGTAGTTTATGTTGAGTTCAGTTCATATTTTGTGGCCCACGAGTCCTTTCATCCGGATAGTTTTGGCCCTCATATGAAAATGTTTGGACACCCCCGGAGGCCTCAGTCCTTGTCTTTATTGTCCTGATCCAAGACATGATTGAGGGTCTCGTTGATATCACTGGTCGTTGTGTTGCTACAACAGGATTTACAACTTTTGTCTAACCAGAGCTACAAGAAAACATAAATGTGATTAAGACAAAGTTGTTGTTTTTTAACAGGTCCCTGTGTGGAAAAGATGCATTCAGGGACAGATTCAACGTCTTTACCATAACTAAAACTAAAAGATTAGCGTTCTATACGGTGTTTTAAGTGGTTTTATGTAGCATACACCAAATAAATGATTATTCATGTGAGAAAACTTTAAAAATACACCTCCATCTTTTCATTTAAATCAACAAAATAAAGGAAATTTAAACTTCAGTTGATTCAAATGTTACGTTTTCACATGAGATCCTGTGATTTTGATCACCCAGGTGATCCGAACAGAAAATTAAATGTTTAAAAGAAGTCTTCAGTCAATTTTGGTTAAACTTAATGTTTCAGGTTAAACACTATGGTTGAATAGAAACGTGATGTTCACTGTGTAAAGCAGACTTGCAACAATTTTGTTCCTTTATTTTGTTTTTAACTGAACACACACACACCTCACTCTACTTTTAGCTTTACCTTCCCATCCTGAAAGCCTGTTTAAAGTTTATAACATGGTTTGATGTAATTATAACGCTTATGTCGCAAGTTTGTGACATTGTTCCTAAAAGTGTGTTTAGGTTGTGGAGCAATAAACGTCTTTTACGCCTTGGTTTTATCTGAACATTGTTGAAGTCGAACAGTTTTTCACGTTGAGTTATTTACGCTCTTCTGGGGATGAAAGTGTTGCAGAGGTGCTGGTTTTGTTTAACGCTGTTGTGCACGTGTGTGCGTGTGTGTGTGTGTTTCCTGCAGGAGCTGTGCCAGTGTCGTCCGTCTGATGGGAACTGTTCCTGCTGTAAGGACTGCATGCTGTGTCTGGGGAATCTCTGGGAGGAGTGCTGCGACTGCGTGGGTGAGCGTGCGTCGTCTTTTAAACCGGACTGAAGCTCAGTTTGCTTTAGCTTCATTTGGTCTCAGGAAACTTTACTGGGTCTGTCTGAAGACGTGTGATTGTTACCAAACGTTTATCCGAGCATCTCTTAACGAGATTAGTGCAAAAGACCCAGGTTTGTCACAAATCAGCCTTAACCCTAAAGTTTTAGTACAAATGTTATGTTTCGAGGACCATCAGCGTAAATATGAGTGTCAGTTACACAGACGTGACCCGTTCTGCAAAATGAGTCAGACTGAGCCAGGCTGCAGTGAAAAATAATAACCATAATTGAGATTTGGATAAAAATCAGACACCACCTAGTGATCCTAGTAATTAAAATAGTGTATAATCTTCCTAATCTACCTTTAAATCAAAGTTTTTAACAGCTATGTCTCCAGGAATAATCCTTTGTTTTATGAGCCTTACATTATTGGAAATCCCTTCGTATAATGTTAGGCAACATTATGGAGCTTTTCCTCTTTTTTTTAAACGTGGCTGGAATTCCCGATGACGTCACTCCAGACCAAAAAAAACCCAACATTTTCAATCCAGCGCTCTCGTAAACAAACCTAGCTTGTTGTTTCAGGAGATTAATCACCAAATTTCAACAAACTATGACTCAATTTGAAGCTTTTGAGATAAAGACTTTGAAAATAACAGCTCGATTTTGATATGAGCTCCTTCTTTTGACTCATTTTGCTCAAGTATATTGTGCACTACTCTAAAATAAAGTTTAATTTAGTGATTTAATTGAAACAATCTGGATTTGTTTGTTGAAATTGTCAGCACATTCTGACAGTGTGGTGGGAAACATCTGGTTTCTTCTAGTGATTCTTGTAAAGTTAACATCATTTATTGATTCCCAAAGATTTCAGCTTCCAAAACACAAAATGTTAGCGACAAATACATGTGGCTCCATTTGTTTAAGGTTTAAATGTACAAAAATCACAAGTAATTCTATTGAACGAGGGCATAATGACAGCACAAATTCTTAACGTTTACATTACATATTTTATTTATTTATGATGTTTAGTTTTTCTAACAATTATGGTCTGAGTATGCGATAACGTTTCATTTTAAATCTAAGTTGATATCTGAAGATTTTAAATCTAAGTTGATATCTGAAGATTTTAAATCTAAGCTGATATCTGAAGATTTTAAATCTAAGTTGATATCTGAAGACGTCTTGATGTGTCATAACCCACATGTGGTCCCGTTCCCAACTTTGGGAAGCACTGAGTTAGTGGAAACAAATAAAAGGACGAGTCACATTAATCAACAGTTGTGGTGAGTTAAAGTGTGAATCTCCACATCCTGTGCTGGAAAGTGCATTTTTTAAGGCACGGCAGAAGCACAGCAGAGAGAGACCTGCAGTTTAGGTTTTCTTGTTGACATATAATTGGATCGTCAGCTGATGCAATCTAAAGCCCGACACCAACTCGGCCCGCCCATCCAGCACATTATTATGGCCTGGCCCAAATTGGCTTATACGGGTTAGAAATGACAGCTCTACTGAATGTCCAGGTCTAAAAACACGGATGATGAATAATAATTGTTAAAATCTGCCCTTATTCATTTCAAAATCATAGTCTGGAGGATTAAATCATAAATGTGGGGCGGCTGTAGAAGTGGGTCCGATTTGGGTGGAAGTGGGAAACAAAGTACCGTATTTTTTGACGTATAAGTCGCACCAGTCAAAGAAAGCATCATGAAGATGAAAAAACATGTATAAGTCACTTCGGTGTATAAGTCGCTTTTATTATCGCATTTATTATCACATTTATTATCACATTTATTATCGCATTTATTATTGCATTTATTATCACATTTATTATCGCATTTATTATCACATTCATTATTTCATTTATTATTGCATTTATTATC